CCTCCAAAGAAGGAGACTCCACCACACTCTGTCCTGGAAGAGGAGGACATCTGGGTCACCCTGGGTCACATCAAACCTCTGGTTAGGCAAAGAGCTTTCTTTCCAGCAGGCTGTGCAGCTAGCTGGCCTCTTTCCCTGCACACCCATTCCTACAATTGGGTTATGGGGGCTTCCCAGGAGGAAAGTGGCGTGTTCACCCCAGACTGTGGTACCGGCGATGGGGAATCCCCCCTTCTTCAGCCACCAGCTCACGCTAAAATCCTGAAGAGATGCCAATTGATGCCATTTCAAAGTGTGAGTAACAAAACCCGGAATATCATTATGGTAAAAACAAAACAAAACAATGTGTGAATGACCCCTTGGATCTAACTCCAACTACCCTTTAAAAAAATCTGGTGTTACAACAACAACAACAACAACAACAACAATAATAATAATTGATACCCCCCTCTGCGTAGCAATTGGGGCAGCTTCCAACATAAACATACAATACAATAAGATCAAGAAGACCTCAGACAGGGCAATTGAAATAGGGTTAGATAATGTGAGTGACCCAAAATGTCCTTCCTTCTGGTCTTCCTATCCTGACCCCTCTGTGATGTAAACTCTTTAGGAATGTTTTCCCACCTCTTTTCCTGCCAATCCTCTCTCAACTCTTCCCTAGAATGAAGATAGATTATTAGATCAACACTCTCTGGGTCAGAGGCCAAACTTGGTTTATGTCAGATGAAGAGATCTCTGCTGCTAAAGACTGATGCAACCAATTTGGCAAGATTTGGTACAGTTTTTCTCCTTCACTCTTCTTAGCTTCAAAGCTTGCTCAGTGTTCAAAGGAGCCTTGTTGCAGCAAAACAACAAGCTGTGCAAAGAACAGATTTATCATATCTTGAGCTTTCATGGATTATAATTCCCCTGTTCTGATCCACATTTAAAAAACATACACACATTAGAAGAGCTTAAATTTTCTGAATTTTCTGTTAGCCTAATATATTATATTACCCAATAGAGATTTTTTAAGATATTCACTGCATTTCAAATGAAGTCTGAAACCATACGTATACAATGTCCTTCCTTTTTATACTAATGCAGGAAAGGATAAACATTACCATTTGCATTATAATTTCTTTTCTAAGCTATTCAGATAAAGACAAGATAAAAATATTACAAGCAAGTGAACAAATATATAAAAAATACAGTGCTGCTGGACCTTTGGTGGGACTGTGGCAGTTCCTGCTTCAAAGCTTTCGTTGGGTGAGATTATACCAGCTGCTGGGTGAGATTATACGGAGTTATGGTGCTGGGTGTTATCAGTACGCTGATGACACCCAAATCTATTTCTCGTTCGTTGGCCTCAAATTCCAATGGCTTCTCTTCTCTCAATGAATGTCTTTGGGCAGTAATGGGCTGGATGAGGA